TTTTGGGTTTAAACAATTTTTTGGGTGGTGTTAACTGGGAACAGTGCTTGCAAAATTTAGATATTGATTTAGCTTTAGAAACCTTTTACGAGACTTTAGGTAAGTATAGGTATATTGCCTTTTAACCTATTTTGTACATGTCAGGAAGTACAAGTCCGGCTCTTTTTCTAAATGGTTCTCACCATACATAAAACCTATGTGGCTGAGTTTTCCAGGTTTAGGTCGGAGTGTAAACGGTGTCGTAACATCTGCTGGTCTCAGAACATGTCAAAAATGGATACTGAATTTAAAACTAATCCAAAATACTTTTGGAAGTATATAAGAGATTTGAAGTCAAATAATGGCCTTCCCCAAATTATGAATTTGGGATAGAAGTGCTGAAAATGGTCAAAATATTGTTGCATTATTTAAAAAATACTTTGAAACTATTTATACTCCGGGGATGACTGGATGATTCGCTGGACTTGGGAACTCCGTTGAATATTTCGGAGAATTTCAGACTTGCACACATTTCTAGAGAGGACATTTATAATAAGATAACTCACTTACCAAACAAGGATACACTGGGTCCTGATGGGATTCCAAATAGTTTATTGAATCAGTGCATTTGCACTCTAGTGATTCCTTTAAACTTATTATTTACCTAATCACTAGTATCCACAACTTTTCCAGAGAGATGAAAGCATAGTTTTATAGTACCGATTTTTAAAAGTGGACATAGGAGCAATGCAGCCAACTATAGGTGCGTGCATTCAGTCATCCATTCCTAAATTATTTGATAGCTTAGTGAGTGACCAGCTAAAGTGGCTGTGCCGAGACCTAACGAACCAAAGTCAACAGGGTTTTTGTGCAGGGCCTTCAACTGTGACAAATTTGTTGAGTTACCAAAACAAAATAATCAAGGCCTTGGAGGATTTTAAACAAGTTGATGCCATTTACACAGATTTTTCCAATTTTTTGTATGATGTTCGGCGCAGATGCGGTAGACTGGATCAAAACTTTTTTAACAGGATTTCACCAATCAGTAAAAGTAGGTTCTTTTCAGTCTGTCACAATCACTGCTACCTCAGGAGTCCCGCAAGGGGGACACTGTTGCTGTTCACCCTTATTTTTTGTCTTATTTGTTAATTCTATGTTCAATTATTTTCAAAATAGTGTTGGACTAGCTTTTGCTGATGATTTAAACGTTTTTAGGACTATAAATGATATGGAAGGCCAACAATTGTTACAGAACGACTTGGATAGATTGACAAATTGGTGTTCAGTTCATAAATTAAACTTAAACTTATCTAAATGTTGGCAGATAAATTTTTTAAAGGTAAAAAAAAGTTCATCCTTCATACTCTTTGAGAGGGGAAGCTTTAAGTTATGTTTCTAAAATAAGGGATCTGGGAGTGATTTTTGATGAAGGTCTAACTTTTCTTGAAGATATCAATACAATATCAGTAAAATCATCAAAAGTGCTGGGCCTTGTTTTGAGAAACTGTGGGTGCTTCTCATTGGTAAGGTCATCGCTGGAGTATGCCTCAATGGTGTCTTCATATCAGGATACTCACCAATATGCGGTGGAAAAAGTTCAGCACAGGGTTCTTAAGTTTTTGCGCGTTTAAATTAAGGTTTGCTTTTCAGGACCATAATTATAGCTATTTGGAGAAACAGCTTGATTTGTAAACTCTGAGGGATAGAAAAACCTTTTCTGGTTTGATATTTGTTAATAGATTAGTTAATGGGAGAATTGATTCTTCCGATTCGTTGCAATGTATCAATATTGAAATAGCTACAAGAAATAGAAGGCAAGAATTCTCTCCCTTCTACATCCCATTGCATAGAACAAACTATGGCTTTAATTCTTCAGTTGATAGGTACTGTAGACTCATGAATTTTTACCATCTGAAAATATTTGATGTCTTCCTATGCAGGTTTAAGAAGAGCTTGAATAAGTTGTAGGTTAAAATTAAATTTTAGGATTAATTAAGTATAGTCCAACAAATACCATTTTAAAGTCACGTGATTTTTCTCTATCCTTGTTGAATACATCTCAAACAGCGGTGATAGTAAAATTGACAAAAAAATTGCTGTCTAATTATTGTTCATAATATTCTTACCTGAAATAGAATCCGTCACTGTCATGGATTAGTTTGTCAAAGTTATTTTCGAAAATAATACAACGAACAAACACAGCTAATAATTTTGTCTATATTAACCTTTTTCCAACTCGAAAAGAAGCAAATAGAAAACGGGTATCCAATTTAAGTTCAGAATGTATTACAACAGACAGCAGATGCAACAAAAGTGAGTCTCGCAACAATTGCAAGTATTAAAATTGCCCTCTGATTGGTCAATACTACTTCAGAAACGCGTTTGTAAAATGCTATAGTGTGTTTTTTTTTTAAAGATAAAAGTCAAAATGACATTATGTTGGCAATACAATGTAAAATTGTCGATGCTTTCAAATTTTTTATGTAGAAAAGGCTTGTGTTGCCAACATAGTTACTAAATTTTTGACTTGGGGAATTATCTTTAAAAAAAAAACAGAGTTTAGTGGGAACATATCCTAAAATTTAATAGTAATTAACCACCAGTAGCTTTTTGTAGGTGATATCAACGAAATAATCAATGGACATACGTTTTTTTCCACCAGTATCACGTGACTTTAAAATGGTATTTGTCGGACTATATATATTGAGTATTCTTGTAGGCAATAATTCAATCTATTTTGCATAACAATTTTGTTAATTGTAAACTGTAAATGGAGTTATCCCGTGAATAAATAAATTAAAAAATAGAAAAGGGTTCAAGGGTGGCAGTAGCATCAAGCTATAAAGAAAGTGAGGAAAGGTAGAAAGGACGCAGCGAATATCCAGATAATATCTGGAAGAGTTGGACTGAGCACTACAAGAAGCTGCTGAAAGAGGAAAGAGAACAATTCAAGGGACAGATTGAGCAGATTGAAGGAAGATGAAGTAAATCATGTGGAAGCTATAACGTCGGAAAAAGTTAGAACATAAATGTACAAGATGTGGAAAATGGAAAAGCTCCGGGACCAGAAATGTGCGCCAGAAATCGCGATGGAAATTCTAGCAGATCTATACAACGATCTGTTACTAAGAGGGCACACTATACCTGTAGACTGGAATATCTCACACATAAGTTCCATTCACAAAAAAGGAGATCGAAAAACTTGTGGAAACTGTAGAGGAATAAGTGTGACTAGTTATTTGTAAAGGTTGTACGTCCGCATTTTGAAAAGAAGAATAGAAATTTCAGATATAGGAAACCAGATGGGGGATGTTCATGCATTGATGGAACTTTCACATTAAAACAAATCATATAGAAAAATGGAAAGCCCGAAACCTGTCCACACACCTAATATTTGTAGACCTCGAATGCCTATGATACAGTTCCCTTGAGAAAACTTACCGAAGTTTTGACAAAGTCTAACCTCAGTAAAGAATACACAAGACTCAAGGGCCATTAATATTATTTATAAAAACCCGCAGAATGTGTATAGTAAAAGCAGGAAGTCAAGCTTCAGAAAGTTTCAAAATTACAAAAGGACTAAAACAAAGGATGCTCATTATCATCTACACTGTTCAGGAGACATTGTAGAACTGGAGAAATAGGTACTCTAGTATGGGAATAGAAGTGGGAGAACATTACTTGTCCACCTTATTCTTTGCAGACGAGTAATAGCTAGCTGTGAAGAAGACCTGGATCAGATGTATAGAAGACTTAAAAATGAATACGAACAAAGGGGAATGAAAATAAACGAAAGCAATATCTTTGTATTTGAGATGATAATGAAGACCCGGATCTTAGCCTGAGAGATTTGAAAAAGGGCGAGGAGTATAAATACTTAGGAAGCTGTGATGTGATATCAACAAAGGGAACATCAGAGTGAGATATAAATGACAGAGTACAAAATGCATTTTGAATTCTCTAATCTGGAGTAGTTAGATTTCTATAAAAATGAAAAAGATAATCTACAGAGCAATTATAGAGTCGATATTGACGTACGGAGCTGAATTCTGGCGACTATCGGAACAAAATAAAAGGAAGGTAGATGCAGTGGAAACAGACAGGCATGTAGAATTTCAAGACTGGAGCATAGACAGTTATGAGAATGAAGGAGGAGAGATGGCCAAAGAGAGCATTGATGCACATTCCATGAAACAGGATAAAGAGAGGAAAACCGGCGCTAACATGGATAGATAACGTTAAATGATATAAGAATGATAGATCCGAGGAAATGCCGGAAAAAATGGCGATCGAAATGCAGGATGCAGTAGAAAACTGATAGACCCCCGCGACGATGATGATGATGATGAGTTTCAAGAATTTTTTTATGCCAGGAGAAAGCCGCTTCAAGAATCATTGCCCGGGCCAATCTTCTAATGATAGACTTAATAATAGACATCAAGATGTATCTAGTACTTTCTACTTTCAGATATTAAAAAAACAAGAAAAGATTTGCTATCAAATAAATCGCAAGGGTTAAGAATTATAATATAAAATTGAATACACTTTACTTCCAGAACATTTTGAATTTTTACATAAATAGCTGTAAGCTCTATTCTATTTTATATGTTTCTATTTTTCCTGAGGGACATTTAAAATAATAATTAGTTTTTCTCGAGGCTGTTTGCTAAATAAACTTTATTATTATTGTTTACTTAACTTTTTCTTGGTAATTCTACGAACTGTTTAGTTTTTCTGGATGAAATCCCCCAAAAAGTGATTCATCAAATAAAAACATTGAAATCCGGAATAGAGTAAGTTTGTATTTTCAAAACAATGTTGTTTTTAAACAAAACAAAGTTTTTCACTAATAAACTATTTTAGTACTATTTTTATGGGTTTTCCCATAACAAATCTAAAGAAAAACGAGCAAACAGATTCGCATTACGCAGCTTTTAACATGCTTGAACAAAAATGCATATTCCTAAAATATTTTTCTCGAAAAGTTGTGTGAATAAATATAAATAAAACAATATTCTTACCTTACAAAGCAAAGTCAATGCACAAAAATTGTCTCTATATGCCGCTCTATTTGCATACACGAAAAACAGACTATACGCAACTCGAAATCCCGTGCGACTCACGATATCGTACTCGTCCGAAAGTTAAGTCAGAGTCAAGAATAAACTAAAGTCCCAGCCGCATTTCCTAAAGCACTCGAGGCGCGCTTTTTCAGGAAGAATCTGTGGTAGGGGAAGGATATCCTCGCAGCAGGCGGAGAAAATTTTCAGACCTGAAAATAATGCTGTTGGCCGTACCGTACTGTAAAGAAACGCACTGCTGGAATCTACCTTGCCAGATGGGGACTTTAATATGTGAATGGAACGCGTGCTGCACTCGGTACGGTTGAAGTACCTTGGCGAATTGCGTGCTCATTTATTATATTTAAGAGCTTAACTTTGTGTGGGGACTTATCCAACTTTGAAGGAATCAATTTTTCAGGATTTATTTTAAACCCTTTTGCAATTAAGGTAGTTTTCCCAAAAGAAAACTACTTAAGTATATATTCTATTTTGAATTGTAGGATTTTCAAATAAATTTTATTCCACATTTAGTATAGGCAAATAAGCACGAAAAATGCTAACGTCAAACTATTTGGAATACAATTTCTGTGAGTGGTTTCCTGATGAAAATTTTCTGTAGAAAGCCATGGTGGAAAGTCTAGCACTCTATGCTGACGCGTTTATCCATAATGGCGAATTTTCCAAAATGGCTGACCATTATTTGATACATTTAAACATATATTAGAACTTGGAATTGAAAATCCAGTCCGTGAACGATTAACACAATAAATAATAATGATCATATGAAAGTAGGCTACACACAGTTTTAACATTTTTGGGGATTGGGCGCGTGCGATGCATGGATTTTGGGTAAGCTATGATACATGTAGCTTGTCGCTTGTTTCCTGGGCAGCATGTTTACATAGGTTCAAAAATATACCAGAAACTCATTACATACTGACAAGATACCTACTTGATTCGTAGACAAAAATCTAAATCATAAGGTAGGTACCTACCTTATTAGTATTGAAATGATGAAATTTCAAATTTTTTTATGTTGAGATTTTGAGTTTAAATGATCATTTGGGACTACCCAAACTGTATACACTAAATTATGCTGAGATCGGAAGCCGAAATCTATGAAAAAAGGACGTAAGGAAATTGAAAAATTGATAAATTCACCCCATATTGCTTATCGAAATTTAATCTCAGGAACTATAAGTCCAAATGAGCTGAAATTTTCAGGATTGTAGTCCTCTACTAGGATAAGAATCGATGAAAATTTTACCTTTCTATCTATAATAGAAAAAAAGTTATGATGTTTTAAAGTGTCCAAAAATTCAAATCATAAGTACCCTCCTTAGTATTATAATGAAATTTCAAGTTTTTTTTATGTTAAGATTTTGTGTTTAAATGATAATTTGTGACTCCACAAACTCTATAAACACGTGAAAATTCTGAGATTCGAAGCCGAAATGTATAAAAAAAGGACGTCAGGAAATTGAAAAATTGATAATTTCACCCCATATTGCTTAACGCAATTTTATCTCAGGAACTATAATTCCAAATAAGCTGAAATTTTCAGGATTTGTAGTCCTCTACTGGGATAAGAATCGCTGAAAATTTAAGCTTTCTATCTATAATAGAAAAAAAGTTATGATGTTTTAAAGTTTGCTGAAATCCAAATCATAAGGTGCCTACCTACCTTAGTATTAAAATAAAGAAATTTCAATTCTTTTATGTTGAGATTTTGTGTTTAAATGATCATTATTGGGACTCCCCAAACTCTATACACTAAATTATTCTGAGATTTGATGTCGAAATTTATGAAAAAAGGACGTCAGGAAATTGAAAAACTGATAAATTCACCCCAAATTGTTTAACGCGATTTTATTCCAAGAACTGTGCAAATGAGCTGAAATTTTCAGCTTTCTATCATCCAATATTCAAAAATCCAAATCATCAGGGAGGTACCTACCTAGGATGTCAGGAAAATTCTGAGATGAAACCATTTCCACAGGAGAATTCTACTTAATTTTTTGCCATAGGTACAGGGTGTTTTTTTAAATAATAAGTTATTGTTCAAGTACAAATAAGTGGATTATTGCGGAATTTATGGGTGAACCTCTGCGCCGCAGCCATCTACTCACCAATATACTGTTAACTGTTCAAATAAGGCAACTCACATTTGAGTGAGTCAGGTTAGTATCGTAATTAAACAACATATTGATGAATAGATGGCTGCGGAACTCGCTGCGCTCGTCCCGCAGAGGTTCACCCATAGGTTCCGCAACAATTCACTTATTTGTACTTGAATAACTTGTCACATTATGTTACTAGTTTAGTAAAGTAACATTACTAATTCCTGTTAAAAGGCAAATTGACAAAAAGTGGATAATCTTACAAATTCTGACTTTATATAATAAGTTATTGTTCAAGTACAGGGTGTTTTTTTTATATATTTACACTCCACCTACAGCTTTTACCTTTACATGTAAATGAAAGCTGTTAATATAAAAGTTGTACAGCATTGGCTAAATTTTCAGAATCCATGGTCAGAAACAAAACTTGAATGTCAGAAATGTGAAATATTGCATGCTTTCAGCTTTTTTCAAATGGGATGCGCTTTATTTGGTTCTATATTCTTGAAGAGCACAATTTCCCGACTCCAAAACTATATAGTTTGCTTATATTTGGTTGAGCCGTCTCCAACATATTTAGTTGTAAAAATTTTAAAAATACTATCAGAGAAACCAAGTAGGTACCTTAAATTTAACTTGCAGCTTTCACCTATACAGGTAGAATGGTTCACAAAATCAGTAGTAGGATAGTATTTTTCCAATTTTTGGAGCCGAATAGACTGTTCAATCAAAAATAGACTAACTATATATTTTTGGAATCGGAACATTGTGCTCTTCAAGAATATATCATGAAATATAGGGCATCCCATTTGAAAAGAGCTGGAAGCATGCAAAATTTCACATTTCTGACATTTAAATTTTGTTTCTAACCAAGATTTCGAAAAATTCAGCCAAAACTGTACAACTTTTGTATTTACACCTTTTCTTCTAAAGGCTGTAGGTGGGGTGTCAATATATAAAAAAACACCCTGTACCTAAGTATTTATTATAAGAATGAAAACTTTGTTCTTATAAAACTCAAACAAAAATTTTACTGACTGCTTCATGAAAAGGTGATTCCAAATTACACCAAGCCATTTTCAGAGCATTATTAACTGACAGTAATTGACAAATCCCCGGAGCTTAGAGAATTGAACCGGATTAACCGATAGTTTTCTGATGTAATGCGATGAAATGAAAGTTAAGAATTTAACAAAAAAGATTAATTTTTCACCAAGATGTCTTGACTTTATGGTGAACGGATTAGATTCAAGGAAAGTCAATAATAACGATTGGTCTTTTACGTTCACTTTCATGTAGTTATATGGTTTAACAAGATTACGTTTGTATAATGAAAAAAACCGTTAAAAGTTAAAATCTTTAGTACCGCACAAACTCATTTAGCATCGGAAAACTCCGATTGGTTATGGTTACTAGATTACAAAGCTCTACCTAATTGAAAACGTGCTTATTATTCATTCATGGTGATTCAAAATCGCACCAGACCAGAAAGACATATGTACGTATTGTATAATGAACCCATTAAGCTCTAACCAAATTTAATCAATAGTTTTTAATTAATATTAATTGTTAAGTCGTAAGAACAAAACAGTTAATTGTTTATTCCCGGTGCACTTCGCGGATGATACAGTCCAATTTAGAATATTAATTTCGCTTCCGGAAACAATGTGCCGACTCTTTGATTCTTTGCATATTGAAGTTTATTGTTATTGATTGGTCGGTCTAGGCGCCAAAGAAGAAGAGTCTAGGAATAGGTTAAGAACCTCTTATAGACGTAGGTAAATCTAATTTTAATGTTTGCAAACAAAGGAAATTTTGCTACTAGAGAAAATGTTTACTAAAATACGACCTGTTCTTTTTAATTAGTTTATTTTAGTGTACAACATTGTGAAAATGATACATGGGCCTATCAAAACCAAAAAGTTATTTATGATATAAGTGCTAAAAGTGATATTTTATTTTGTGAAAAGGGAAGTTTTTTTGTTCTTTGTGAGTTTAGAGTTCTCAGATCAAATTCTGAATCAAGTTTGAATGAAAAAAGTTCGACAAAACAAAAACTTCATTAATAGAATAAACAAAACAAACATCAGTTCTCAAGGAAGATGTAAAGAAAAACCACGGAAAAATGTTAGAAAGAAATATAAAAAAGAATAGAGGCGGCCAAAAGGTACGGTTTCTTAGGACAGTGCGCCACGCAGAACTCACAACGTAAACGTCGGCAGAATCTATTCAGCACGACATTGACACACTGCTGACGTCGCCCTCACCTGCGCAAACCCAACAAACCAGTCATATAATTTACAGTAGGTTGATTTAAGCAGACGTGCGCGGCGTTCAACAGAATGTGAGTTGTGCGTCGCGCACTGCCCTTACAAACCACACCTTAAGGTACGGTTTGTTAGGATAGTACGCGACGCACAACTGACAACGTAAACATCGTCATTGGCTCAGGTATGACGTATACCCGTTACCTGACGTCAGCGTCAGCGTCAGAAAACGGGTACGTCATACCTATGGTCATACCTGAACCAATGACGACGTTTACGTTGTCAGTTGTGCGACGCGTACTCTCCTAACAAACCGTACCTTTAGAGTGTTTAAAACAGAGATCTCGGTACCAGCATAATATCATGGAATATGAAACATTTACTATCGTATCAGCTATGGAAAGTTCTATATTGGGACCTTTACAATAATTCAGAACAAGATCTCGACAACAGATGAAAACCCATCTATAATAGAAATGGTCGGTTCCATTAATAATAAGAAAAACAACAAATTACCGGGAAAAAAGTTTTTGCTAAAATGGACAGCTACTAACATACTTAATGCTATCGAAATGTCCTCTCATGGATCATGGAAGCAAGAGAGAAGGGGAAGATAGTCAGTTTGGTCAATTGCTAGAATATTAATAAAAGTGTTCTGGAGAAATAATAGTTATTTACATTACAAGTGCGTTTATGAACATGATTACAATAACGAGTGTGAAAGATTAGAACGACGAGGTCGTAGACCGAGTCGTTCTAATCACACGAGTTTTGTAGTCATGTTTAAACTCACGTGTGATGTACAACATTTTATTTACAAAGAGAAAAATAAGAATGTTTTTTCAATTATTTTCGTCAATGAATAGTTTTCTACCTTCATTTTACCTTCACAGGTTTACCTTTGACATTTGTCAAATCACCAAAAATTGTTGTGTTATAGATTCATACCCTCGTCCATAACACCACTAGTTGTGTAATGAGTCTCATGACTTAACTCAAATACTAGAAAAATGGTTATGTAAAAACGTCATAACCAAACGCTTGTAGATAAAGTGTTTTTTACTGGAAGGGGCGCATCACATGGCTCTGCGGAAATTAAGAAATCCATTATGATTTGTTAAAGAAAATAAAGTTTAAAAAAAATGGAGTTGAAACCACCAAGGAGTTATATTTGGAGAAAAAAAAGATTATTATTCCAGGTATCCATGTACCATTAGACATCGTCCCTAAAACTTGAAGTTTTAGAGGTAAAAAATCAAAATCGAAATCTTGGCATTTTTGCATGCAACTTCATGTTGTAGGTACTTGATATCACTATGACAAAGAATTTTGTAACTGTCTAGTTAGATATCAATTAAGTTAAAATACAATTTCCAAGAAAATTTTACGAGTTCCAGAGTATTTTCTCTGGAACTCGTCAAATGGAGATTAAGGAAAAATATAGATCATTTGCATTAATGAACCAACGATAACAGAAATTGTATACGCTGATATGTTCTTTTTTCCACAGTTAGGACAGAAGGGTATCTTGGATGATATCTATTTCCAGCAGGATGATGCCTCATTATTCTTTAATAGCAAGGGAATCACTAGATATGACATTTGGGGAAAGATGGATATGGAGGTCCTATAGAATGGACACCTTACTCTCCTGACTTGAGAGTCCCAGACTTTTTTCCCTGGAGTTATGTCAAGGAAAGATGCTGTAATCGTTTGCTTAAATAGCCTGAAAGATCTTAAGCGGAACATTTGTAATGTCATTGAAGCGATTCCCCAGGAAATGTTACACAAGTAATTCACCCATTTACTGATCCATAAATGCCTGGAACAGAATGGCTAACATATACCTACATATACAGCATTTTGTGTAGTTTTTATTAACTTTTTATTGGGCAAATATAAGTTCCAAGCTTTGTAAATATGCGTTTGCAAAAATACCAAGATTTCGATTTTGATTTTTCACAGCTAAAACTTCAAGTTTTAGGGACTATGTCTATTCGTACATGGATAGCTTGAACATTATTCTTTTTTTTTGACGTTGTGATATACAGGGTGTTCCATTAAAAATAGTGGAGAATTTCAATGTTGAAAAATGGATTTTTTTTTACTTGCCCTGTATAAGTTTCAAAAAATTTTGCAACCTACAAAAAAAAACTTTAGACCAAGACAACTCGAATGGCGCAAACTGCAGGTAGCTAGCACACCTGGTTTCAAAGTTATAACCATTTAAAATGGTTCACTTTCGGCTGGGACACCCTGTATATGAATGCAACAGGAATGAGTTCAATTCCAAAAGTTACTGAATAGAGGAAAGTTGCCGTTCTGCTACATACTCTTGGTAGCGATGTAGTGGATATTTTGGGAACTTTGACACTCTTTGAGACAGATAAAAAAGATTGGCAGCCGTTACTCGATATCCTACAAAAAGATTTTGTTCCAATATCAAATGAAACAGTGAATAGACACATTTTCAACACAAGAAATCAAGTAGAAGGAGGGCCAGTGGATGTTTATATAACAGAGTTAAAAAAAAAACTAAGCAAGAATTGCGATTATGAAACTCTGGCTGAGAGTCTTATCAGAGACCGAATAGTTTGTGGTATTAGGGACCAGAGAGTACGAGATAGACTGCTAGGAGAGCTGGAACAAGACTTGTAAAATTGTGCACACATACGTAAGGCAGCAGAATTGGCAGAAAATCAGAGTTATCAGAAGAAGCAAGAAGTGTTTATGCTATAAAGAAAAAAGGTAACAGTGGAGATAGAGAAAGAGGTGGAAGAAAATTTAATAGAGCCTGTGGAAAATGTGGTAGGTACTCTGCATGAGTTTGGAAGGTATCCTGCATATAGGAAAATATGTGATAAGATAGCAATTTTCAAAGCTTTCCTAATCGCTTTTCTCAGTTTACTCCAACTCGTATGCCAGGTAATCGCAATGCGCATGCTGTAAAGCAATACGAAGAAGATGAATCTGATCTATTTAGTGTACACAGAGGAAAACAAGTAGGATCAGTAAAGAAAGGCAGCTGGTATGAAGAAGTACTTATTAATGATCAAGTTGTAAATTGTAAGATTGACACAGGAGATGAAACAAACATTTTGAATAAAACCATAGCTACCAAGCTTAAGGCAGCAATAAAATGTCCAAGTGTAAGATTAACTAATTATGATGGATCCTCTATCGACAAGGTTTATGCTGAAGTTTCAGGTCTATGTAAAGTAAAAAATACAAAAGGTACTGAGAGATTCCAAATAGTTGAATTGGATGCACCCTGTATAATTGGATTAAGCTTTTCAGAAAAATATGGTCTTATAAAGAGAATTAATATGGATAATTTGGCAATGGATACGATCAATGAGGACAAAATAAAAGAATTTTATCACAAGGAATGGAGAAGTATTTGGAAAAATTGAAGGAATAAAAGATATTAGTTATAAAATAAAATTAAAATCAGATGTTGAACCAGTGGCGGAGGCACCCCGAAAAATACCATTTGGAATGCAAGAAAATTTACAAAAAGATTTGGAAAAAATGGGTAAGTTCAATAGTCATTGTTAAAAAATCTGACAACTCATAACGCATGTTTGGATTCTCAAAACCTTAATAAAGCTGTCGTAAGGGAACGATACCAATTGCCTACATTTAAGGAGCTTGTTTCAAAAACGGGAAAGCCTACAATTTTTTCCATTTTGGATGCGAATAAAGAATTTTATCAGATAAGGCTACATTAAGATTCACATTCACAACTTCAACAACAACATTTTATGCAGGCAAATTTGGAAGATTGTGTTATAAACGAATGCCTTTTAGTCTTTGTTCGGCTCCCGAAGTTTTTCAACGTACTTTTTCAGATATTTTTGGAGGCTTACCTGGTGTACAGGTGTACATAAATGATATTTTGATTCACGTGGACAATTAAAATGATCACTTAAAAAGACTGAGTGCGGTATTTGAAAGGGCCCAAAAGTGCAAACATCAAATTTAACTGAAGTAAATGTAAGTATGGTGTCAAAGAAGTGAAATATTTGGGACATTGACTGCAGAAGGTCTTCTTGAGAAAGACATACACTGGTATTCATAGTCAATCGCCAGCGAGTCGCCATTTGTTGGGCCAAATATGGCGATTCTCTGGCGACTCACTGGCGATTGACTATGAATACCAGTGATAGACTTTGTGTGAGTTGATATTCATAACTGTGATTTTCTAAAGTTAATGCAAATGTTATTGAAAGTTCCTGATTTAAAGTATCTATTTTAATTATGAAAAGCCAGTTGTGTTATCAGTAGATAGTAGTAGTACGTGGTTGGGGGCAGTAATTTTGCAAGACAAATCTTCCAGTAGCATATACATAGAGTCTCACAGATTATCAAAAAATGTGGGCTCAAATTGAGAAAGAGCTTTCAGCTATTGTCCATGGTTGTGAGCGCTTCATCAGTATTTATATGGTAGAACTATATTTGTTAAAAATGATCACAAGCCGTTGAGGAGCAAATTTTCAAAAAACCTCTCAATGAAACTGCGTGCACAAACGTAACGGTTAGGATTCCAACCCTATGACATTCTTGCATTCTTGACAGATACAAACCAAGATTACTTCTCCGCACGGGGTGCGGAAAAGTAGAATACCTAAAATTTTTAGGTATACAGGTATTTACAAGTAGGTATACAGGTATACTGCAGGTACCTACAGGTACGGAAAAGTAAAAAAAAAAAATTGTATTAAATTGGTAAATATATAGGAACAAATATTAACTTCCATCTCGTAGAAAAAAATAGTGTTCCTAACTCCTGCGGAAAATTTCGTTTCCGCACTAGTTAGGAAATATATTATTTTCGATGAATCGCAATTATCAGTTTTACCACCACCCTCAAAGTGATTTGCAAGTCGTTCCCTAAACGATGTATTTTCGTACTACCTATAATTTCTAGTACTGTTCGTGCCCGAGACTAGGGCGGAAATGTCCATATATTATTCACAAAAAACCCCTTTTTTTGATGAATCGCGATTATCAGTTTTACCCCCTTAAACCACCCTGAAAATAACTCGCAAGTCAAGTAAGGTTCCCCAAACGATGTATTTTGGTACTACCTATAATTTCCAGTACTGTTCGTGCCCGAGACTAAGGTGGAAATATCCATATTTTCACAAAAACCCTTTTTTCTCCAATTCCAATTTCCTAGAATCGAATCCTGTCCGAGAAAAATTTGAAAAAGTAAAGAAGTCGCAAAAAGTATCCATTGGCGGTCGGGAATCAAGAAGTTTAGAGAAAATTTAAAACGGTAAAACTACAATATGTGCGTGTTTTAAGTAATCAAAAGATTTATTTTATTATAATTAATTTAGTGAAAGTAAGAAAAAAATTGTAAGTACGTGTAGGAGTTTGAGACTTTAATATATAACCATTTATTGCAATGACTATGCTGTAAATAGAATTGACTATGGAACATTATTGCAATTTAATTGACTTAAAATGGCTATTGAATATTTTCACCGAGTAATGACAAATTAATGTCAAAGTCAAAGAAGAAAGGATAGTCAATATTGAACCTCTTATAAAAGTCAGCGACTAGGACAAACATTGAAAATCCTTTGCAAATAGGAATTTGAATAACGTGTGTTATTCCGATTCGCCAAATTAACAAAATAATTTTCTGAAAATGAACATGATGACATTATTTACACTCTGGTGTATACTTATTATGCAATGAAGCTATAAACATTTTATTTATTGAAAACATTTCTCAATTTATTGATAACTGAATCGTCTTATCGCATAATAAAAGTCGGTATTCCAAAAATAACCACAACAAAATTTATTCCGAAAATTGTCCAGTGTTTGTTTAGTTCTAGGCGGGAACCCCGCCGTCCATTCATCGATTCAAGCATCCAACTTTGCGCACTCGCAAACTAAAATCATTAAAAAAAAAAAAACTACAATCTATTCAAGTTATACTCTTATTTCATGGTATTTCCCAATGGTTAAACACGCAACACTTTCACCTTGTCGGTCGACCAGGTTCTTGTCCATACATCAGGTTTAGTTATCAATTGAAATTCGCAAGAACTATACAACAAGATTTAACCGATTTTTCATCTCTCTCGCTCGGCGTTCGGCTTCTATCCCGATCCCTCTGGCTGGATCTAACCCTGGATCATATCTGGAGCGGTGTCGGTGTGAAACAGGTGGCAAATTTCGCGTGTTGAACGGCTATTTGTTTCGTCAAAAAAGGGTCCAAGTCGAGAGAGGCTGTTTTAAAAAAAAAGTTTTTACGCATCCAGAAAATGACCAGCGTAGCAGAAATTTTGAATTATAAGAAAAATGACATGGAGGATTATTATGCCATTTTGGGATGCAATGAAAATTCTTCTGTAAGTAGAAACTTTTTAAGTATTTAATGAAATAAAATTGTAGATATGAAGGAAAATTAATCGTTAATGAAAAACTAGCTTTAGGTATTTAATATTTGTGTTTGAAACTGGATTACCTATCTTGCTGAAATATCGATAGTTTTGGTAACAATCAAATTGCTTTTGCATTGGAACTTTTTCAGTTTTTCAACAATTAATGTCGGTCCGGTGTATACTAAGAAGTTGTCGAACATTCACAAACTTTTAGTGTCCTTATAGCTCACTACCAGTGTCAGTTAGCTAATGCCTTTTCGGCAGTTTTGCAAATGGTATAGGAGAAAAGGAAATTCCTACTTTGGAGAATTTCGAAAAAAATTACAAAATTTCCCAATTTGCGTATAGTTTTTCCTAGCTCGTAGACCAAAGTGATAATCAGAGAGGTTTGGTCTTTGATCAAAATTCTAATTGACTTGCAACTTAAAAGTCTATGAGCAGTCCGATTTCAACCCGAAACTAGAGTTTCTTCTTCACTCTAATTTGGTCGAAATTCATTGGAAAATGAAGGCAGTGTCTAAAGTTCATTTTGATCAAATTTAAAGTTCATTAGTGAGAGTGTTTAATGCGTTTAGTCGATTTTAACTTAATTTTTGCTTCATAATTATTAAGACAATTAAGATGTGAGGGAGATTTTTTCAGAATAATTAATAGTCCATGAGGATATTCCTTTGTTCTGCAAATAACGCAAAACAATAATTATGTGAAGTTTTTCTTGGAATAAATAAAGTCCACCTTGACTGTAGGTAACGAAGTTAATCGGAATATTCATGGGACGATTCTTTTTATAGGTATAAGTAATGTCGCAGGTGATTCCCACAACGTGAATTATTGGAAAAATCAAAAGTTTGTTACGTCATTAATTGCTAAATAACTCAAATTAAACCTTTTTTAAAATGAATTATTTTCCAAAAATCAACATTTCAAACTTTATATAGTCAATAACGAATCACCCCAAACACAAACCAAAATAATATTTATCTGAAGGTAAAATAGATTATAGATAAAATCTGCGTTGTGTGTGGAAATGTTAGGTACCCGTGTTAGTGAGATGCAAATTTAATTTAACGTATAGCGCATTACATGTTAATTAAACAGGTTAATCGATATGGATGAATGCATAAATTATAGTCCAAGTGCTAGTGAATATTTTAAAATGGGTTGATTGATTTGATTGGTTGATTTTATCAACGGCAGCAAGGCAAGGTTATTGTATCCCTTTCGGTGTGAATTTCTGCTAAAATTGATTTGACACCTTCGCCAGGTGCGGTAACTTCTTTATTGACGATTTCAGGGGACCCTCCTCCTGGACAGATTCCTCCTCCAAGAGGTGTCGGGTACTCCAGTAAGCGAGCGCAGGCCACTCAAATAAGATGTGAGAGGCTGATTCTTCGTCCTCGTCGCACAATCTAGAGATGGGTTCATCATGGTAATTCTCATCTTGTGTAGTAGGTGTTTCTTCAGTGTACAGTGACTGGTTAAGAGTCTCGTCACAATTCTGATCTGGTTCCTGGTGAGCTTTAGGATCTCAGAGGCTAATCTTGTCGTAGGATAGTTCACCATTGCCTTACTGTGGTGTTGCCTCGGTATTTGATACCAGTTAGTTTTGTGTTCCTCTCGGATCCACTTGTCCAAGCAGCTACGTATCGAGGTTTTTGATATTCCGAATGCGGACTTAGGGCCAATAAACTGCCTTTCTGATTCTTGCCTGGGTAAGCAGTCCGCGTTTTCATTGCCAGAAACGCCCGTGTGACCCGGCACCCACGCAAGAATTACCTTGTTATGGCTGGCTAAGGTTAAAAGGAGTTGCAGGCAGTCCCACACTAATTTAGAGTTTATCCGTTGGCATGCTAGGGCTTTGATAGCTGCTTGGCTGTCTGAGAAGATCGTAATATCCCTATGCACATATTCTCTTTCTCAGATTTTCCCGCAGGCATATCTATATTGCATGTATTACAGCTTGGAATACGGTCGTGTGCTTCCCCAGTGGAGAATACCATTTTGATTGTGGAGTTGGGCCATATATATTTCTAGATAACGCCCTTAGTGTTGTGTTTGAGATAGAGTAGAGATTGGGTTAAGGGCTTTCGAAATAAAACTCTCTTTTTCAAAAAATTATGCCGACGTCTCGACCATATATTTGGTCTTCTGGCCTGTGAAGAAAACCAAATATATGGTCAAAACGTCGGCATAATGTTTGAAAAAGGAGTTTTATATCGAAAGTCCTAAACCCATTATCTCTTCTCTATAGGCCATATACTCCGGCACCGGTTCCACTGTTGATTTTGAAACCATTAGTGTACCATACTAACTTTCCATTCTGGACTCTAGACTACTGAGTTTTCTGTTTTGTTTTCCCACTTAATCTGGGTTTGAAACGGTTTGTGAGTATTTATTCTCGGGGTCATGATGTCACTTCTCATCTCAAATAGTGAGTTTGTGACAATGTTTGATATCCTGGTATATCCGAATGTTCTTCTCAGATTCCAGTTTTGACTGCAATTGAGTCCGTAAGCCCCCATTCTTCCCTTAGCTTTGATAATGATATCAAGTGGCGGGAGATTTATTTCAATTTTTTTTCGAGATTTTGTATCCTAATGGTCAATCAACATCCCCCTAACTCCATACACTAAATTATTCTCAGATTTGAAGCCGAAATTTATGAAAAAAGGCACTCAGAAAAATTGAAAAATTGATAAACCACCCCAAATTGCTTAACACGATTTTATCTCAGGAACTATAAGTGCGAAGTACGAATTAACAGGGATTGTAGTCCCTTGATTGGGATAAAATTCAGTGAAAGTTTCAGCTTTCTATCTATAATAGAAAAAAAGTTATGACCTTTCAGGGTTTTCCAAAATCTAAATCATAAAGTAATGACCTTTCAAAGTTTTCGAATATCTAAATCATAAGTATGCAGAGACAAGCCAGTCTTTGAAGTTTGTATAGCTCTATTATTGCTTTGCTCTCTCCGACTATTGGCCACCGACTACCTATTGATCCGTAGGTTATTCTGGATCTTACCACTACTATATAGATCCAATTAACAATGTGGGGTAGAAATCCCCATGTTTTTCCCACTGCTTCTGGTGGCCATAAGCGCTATTTTACCTTTGTTCTTGGCGTATTCGATATGCGCGTTCCAGGTTAGTTTTGCATCTAGGATAATTCCTAGGTACTTGACTTCCCGGACGAATTGTATTTGCTTTCCGAATAAAGTGAGCGGTACTAGATCGTCCAGTTTTCTTTTTTCCGTGAAGGGGATTATATAGCTGTTTTCTTAAGGTTGACACTCAGGTTTGCCCCTTTGACCCAGTCTTGCAGGATTCTAAGCGCTCTTTGCATTTTAGCAGAAGTAGTTTGTAAATTGTTCGCCATGACTACGGTTACTTCATCATCTGAGTAGCCCTGGGTATAAATAGATCTACTAGGTTCGTCTACGCCCACACACAGAGCAGAGGGGATAGGACCCCACCCTGTGGGCAGTCTTTTGATACCGACATCTCCATTGTATCATTATTTAGAGTAGCCTGAACTTGTCTTCCATGAAGCATGTTATCAATCCATCTGCCTGTGGTGTGTGTAACTCCGTGTCTGGACAAAGCAGTGTTCATAGATTCAAATGAGGTTCAGTTAAACGCCCCTTCTATGTCGAGGAATGCTGCAAGGGCTGCCTCCTTTTTATCATTTGCGCGCTCTATTCTTGCCACCAGTTGGTGTAGGGCCGTTTCTTAAGATTTACCCAATTGATAGGCACGTTGGTTTTGGTGTAGCGGCTTTTCTTTAAGAGAAGTTTCCCTGACATGTTAATCAATGAGTTTTTCAATTATCTTCATAATAAAAGACGATAGTGTAGCAGTCTCTCTTCCAGAATCTGTGCCAGGTGCCATTTGGTTTTTTGGGGGTCCCAACTTGATTTAAGGGATTCTTGGACAGAGTTTTTTGGAGTCTTGCTGCTACCTTGGTGTTTTCAACCTCTTGGCAATGATTCGATTTTTGCCTTCCGGATCTGACTATTATACATGGTGGAGTGGTAGTCGTCCCACCTGCCCGATTTTCTCGCACTGTTGTACAGTTCGCGTGTTTTCGTCCTGAGATCTGAAAGTTCTTCGTTTCACCATGAGGTATCTCTTCTGGAGTTTTGCTTTCTCAGGGGACAGTTGTTCTGATAAGAGGTTATTATAGCCTTCTGTAGTTTAATAGCTGCCAATTCTATATCAGTGGCGTTTTTAATATCAGTTTTGACCTACCTATCCCTCCCAGTTCGTGCTGTTCGGATCACGAAACTGCTCTGCTGGTCTAATATCTTGTGAAAATTCCATGCAGATATGTCTGTGATCAGACAGGTTGCTTATTTACGGGGAGAGGTCAAAGTAATATCAAGAACCCCTTTACTAGTTCTTGTAACGAAAGTAGGTTCATTACTTTTATTGAGGATTTCCAAATTTTTTGAAATTATGTAGTCTAATAGGTACTCACCTCTAATGTTAACGTCGCTGCTACCCCACACAGTGTGGTGTGCGTTTGCATCCTTCCTTCCTATCATCTGTAGGTTTAATTGTCTGCAGTATTGCTCCAGCGTTCAGAGTTCGTTGGATGGTGGTGGTTGGATGGAGTCATATGGTAGGTGGGTTGAAACGAGGACGGCTTCGAACCTTGCACCTGCCATATTTAGTTCCAGCCTAAGAGCCGCTTGGTCCCTAAAACAGAGATCGGTTAGTTTTAAGGCATGTACTTCATTTTTAACAAATATGCAAGCTCTGACGTCGTTGGAGTTATGATCATAAATAATCTTACCTCTGGCTTCGTCTAGACCCCCAACTCTCCCCCTGAATAGCCACGGTTTTTGGATGTTCTCAGAGAGAAGTTCCTGCAAAGGATGGCCGTGGCCACCGTATTGTGCTGCAGGTTTACTTGGAGCAGCTTCTGCATCGCCCTTGTGTTGTTTAGTCGCCTTGAAGGAGACT